GTGTTATTAAAAATTAAGTCAACCATTGTAAGTCCAGATGCTCCTCACCTTATGATGAAGTTACATCCTGTTTACCCATTATGCAGTCAAAAAAATAGAGTCAAACCATCATAACACAAGAGCACTTTGTTTACCCACATTCAAAACCAGGCTTTCCAGAGTCTAAACAACAAAAACAAACTATGGATGTCATATGTTCAGCATCAGCAAACACAAAACAATTCAGTGTTACCCATAGACATGTCTGCTTCTTTAGTATTTCCCATGTTTCTACTTTTCACGGTGACTCCGCACAGATTTCCATCACCCTGCATGTCTGGCTCCACGTGCACTCATCTCACACTGTGTCTCGGTCAGCAGCACTCTGGCTCTTTACACAGGAGAACACTAGTTGTCAAATAAAACTTCCCCATCAACTGCACATGGGATCTACTGCTGTCGCTTAATTCTCCATCTCACTATGTAGACTGATTTATTTTGTCCTGTTTATTACTAACATTTTAAAACATCTAATTTAAATACTTACTCCTTTTCTTTTTGTTTCCATAACAAATTGTTTAGAGTCTTCCCATCAAAAATATAACATGGTCTAGTATCTGTTACATCTGTCACTAATAATATCTATAAATGTCATGAGCTCTTTTTTTCTAGGTGTCCTGTTTTTTTGGGGGGGGGGGAATCTGAGCACACAGTAGCAACCTACCCACAACCACCTACGTATATGCACACCTATTATATCTTCTTATTTGTGAATAAGAATTTGTATCAGTGTGAGCCCAGACACAGACCTCCCTGCAGGGAGACAAAAGGCAGCTGTGCTGAGGGGGCCCTCAGGACACATTCTAATCGTAGCCACACCAGGAGCAGGTGCAGAGAGGAGCTGAGAAGAGATGTTCTGTTGGGATCAGGGACTTTGTCACTTCTTCTAGCTCTCAGTGACCCCAGGGACACTTTATGCTTTTTGTTTGTTTTTTTTTTATTTCTATAATGACTCACATTTCCACTGAAGGTAAAGAAGGAAAAAAACAACATTGTTTCCAGATGAGATGTTTGCAGTCACTAGGGATATTTACCACTTTCTCATATGACATTTCTTTCTTTCTTTCTTTCTTTTTCTTTTTTTTGAAAAGAGATCATCCTGAGGATTTTCAAACTCCTCATGACTAGGAAGAATTTCCCACAAAGAGAAACACAATGCAGTCCATGCTCCCTCGGTCCGGGGTTGAAGCCTCTGTCTCAGGTAGGCACAGGTCTGCCCCGTGTGCCATCCACCGGGACCTCTGTCCCACGGGCATCCTGTTCTTCCTGTGGAAATTCCACCTCTTGCTCCTCATCCACGCAGGTGGACATGGATGTTCAGGGTTTGCCTCACTGCCTATCGATCCCTTGGACCTCTGGATGGAGGACCAGCCAAACCCAAGGTGCAGCTGTCAGATTTCCCTGTGAAGCATGAGGACAGGTGCAGAGAAGAAAACTCATCACAGCCCTGCTGGACCGTGTTCTGGGCAGGAGCTCTAATAGCAGCCCTGGATCAGTGTCCTAAGATGTGTCTCTCAGCTTCCACACAGGAATTCCATGGAGATAAAGAGAACCATCTGGATGGAGACCTGGTCCCTGCCTGCCCTCTGCTGTCCCTTAAGTATCACACAGCAACCCCAGCCCCCCAACATCACATTCTGTCTTCCACTGTCTAAATTCAAAATAATCTGTCTTAGGCGCTGAGGTCCATGGAGTCTAACCCCAGGTCAGTCTTCCCAGCTCTGAGCCAGGAGCAGGGTGGAGGCTCAGCAAAGCCTGACCATCAGAGCACAAACCCACCTCACCTCCTAACATCTGTCTCATGTGTCCATCTGTCTGTGGACACCCCAGGGCAAGTTACACTCAGGGCACCTGGAGCTGCCTCAGATGCCCTGATGAGCCCTTGGGTCACACACACATGATGCCAGGCCATGCAGGCACCACTGCAGGGCAGGATGGGTCATGTGGGAACACAGCCATCTGCTGACCCCTGGGCTCCTCTCACAACCCACACGTCTTATGGTAGAGAATGTCTAGATGGTCCTGCCAGGGGTCGAGCTCTGGCATGGACACACTCCTGTGTGGCTGAGGTCACAGAGTGACCAGCAAGTGGGCTGGGTGTCCTGGGCACCAACGAGTCTCCAATGTCCCCAGTGAACAGAGCCCAAATATTCAGGTAAAATAAAAGTTATTAATGGAGATTCCTATATTAGGAAAAAGGGAGCAATCACAGCTGAAATCATATATGGGAAAATAACAAGTAACAATTAGCAGAAATGATGCAAGTGTTCTCATTATAAATTTGAAGACAGACAGAGAAATAATTGAAAAGAGTATTGAGTGTAGCACACACGTCTAGAAACAATGATTTCTGCCATTTCTTTATACTTTTGTCCTCTGAAGTTATCATTTAACTTGGCTGTCCTCTTAATGCTCTAACTGCAAAAACTGCAATCATCAAATTGACAAGAGACACTCCTGTCTGTGTAACTAGTAAGAACCTTGCAATGGTTCAGTGTGTTCTCAGCGTGTGTCTTCCTGTTCGTCTCCTCCTCACAGAGTAAAACCCTGACCTGTGTGTGAGCTCCTCACAGCCCACAGTCCTTGGAGGATAAAAAGGATGTTGTGTGGGACACCAGGATCACACGGCCTGTGTGGCTCAGAGCGACCAGAAGGGTTTCTACCACCTCGACTGCCTCATACCTGGACACCTCCTGACTGGTTTTCTTAGCAGCTGGCACCGGACACACTTCTTGAGAAATCCCACCGCCACCCACGTGTCTCATGTTATTCATCACACACTGAACATGTGGAATGTCCTGCAGGCCTCCAGGTCTTGCAAGTTGCATCCTCCCCTTACCATGTTACAACGCATGGTCTACACACACAACTCTACGCACTGCTCCTAGTGCGACAATTGGCATCCAGAGATGTCAAATGCAATCGGTCCTGTCCTCATTCCTTGGGCTCCACAAACTCTGAAACTTTAGTCCTCACTGGCCACTCTGCCTTTCCAGAAATAATCTCTCAGTAATTAGTGTAATTACTTGTGCTACAATTTCCTCGATTAGTTAACAGTTTGAATTCTAAATGAAAGCCATTCCTCTCCTGGGTCAGAAGGTCAAGGAATAAGAGTTTTATGATTAATAATTTATCTGATTCTTCTCCACTATTCCTGGAATGCTGTGTGCATCTCAGCGCTTCCCTCAGCTCAGACGATGAAAGTGACCAGAGCTCCTCCCAGCAAGGCTGGCCCAGCCCCTCCCCTGAGTGCCTGTGGTCATGGTGATGGACATCCCACCCACCTGACCCCTGGCCCTCTTCCTGTGAGGACACCCGCCATCCATCCACAGGGAGATAAGTTCATCACTGCTGACAAAATCCACTCTTGAAAAGGAGCAATTTGTCCCAAGTATACCTTTTTCATACCCTAATGTGGGTTTGTTCTTGTTTCCACAGTGCTTCCGCCTAAACCTTGAGGAAAAGGAGCTACTCGTGACTGCCCCCACCTTAGATGAAAGGGATTCAGAAGGACAAGTTTCCTGTCGGGACTGTGGCTCCTGAGCATTTCACACTGTAGCTCGTTCACCACACTCAGCTGCAACAGACCCAGTGCACGTTTCTAGCTTCATCTTGTGCTAGTTGATGTGTCGTCCAGCAGCCTCTGCCCCAGATCACCTGATGTACTGACCTTGTTCTCCCTGAAAGTTCTTGTCTCTCTCCAGGTTACAGGTGTCTTGTTTGTCTTCAGTTATCTGAAATACTGAATAAAGTTTGCTAAATCTCACCATTTCCAGATTGTGTTTGAAGTTTTTGTTATGATAAGAAACACACAGGTACTCGGCTGCCCACCTCTCCATGCTGAGCAGCAGCTGTATTTGTAGGACCAAGAAACTAGAAAATATCCAAATATTAATCAGCAGCTTAATAGACAAACTGTTTTAAATTCATTAATTGGAATACTGCCCATCATTACAACCAATAAATACTTGATACACACAAGATGGTTAAATTCACAGGTATGTACCTCAGGTAGAATAAGCCAAGCAGATAAAGTACATACTATGTCATTCCATTTTTATGATTTCAAGAAAATTAAAACTAATATAAAGTAAAAAAAGAAATATCAGTAGTTGTCCGCTGGTAAAGTAGAAGAAGGGAAAAATAAAAAAAAGAGAAATTACAGAAGAATAAATATTGAGAGTAATTGATTTGTTCATTGTATTGATGACAATGCTGGCTAAGTCAATACTTATTAATTGCACACTTTTTGTGAAATTTGACAAATGTCAATTATACCTCATTAAAGTTATTGCACTTAAACAGATACTTGGGTAGGGAAGGAGTGATAGAAAGATAGATGAAAATGTGTGAAGTGACAGAGACTCTTAAAACTCATCTGAATGATTCTAGTTCTGTCCATGTTTTTAGGTAAATTATAGATTGCAGCAAATCACACATGCTCATGTTATAGAAAAAGGGTCCTGCAAACCTCTCTAGGAAGGTCCAAGGAGGTTGTTCAGGGGGACAGTATGGTCCAGTGTGAGGAGCACAGCCTGACACTGTGGATGGCACTGATAAGACACGTGGACACTGTACATGTCCCCTACACTTCTTGGTTTGTTCCTAATCTGTAAAATGGAAGGAACATTGGCACCCACACATGATTACTGTGCTTTTGTAAAAATGAATCGGGGTGTTGAGTGTTAAGAGTATATCACAGCACGATCACACCATTAAAAAAACACACTTCCTCAATCAGAACACTATTTGTGTACACTGTCTCCTGCCCTGGGAAGTGTCCCCTGTATAGGCGTCCAACCCCAGGTCTAGCTATATAGCAAGAGAACATGCAAATAGGGCCTCCCTCTGCTGATGAAAACCAGCCCAGCCCTGACCCTGCAGCTCTGGGAGACGAGCCTCAGCCCCAGATTCCCAGGAGCTCCCATTCGGTGATCAGGACTGAACACAGACGACCCACCATGGAGATTGGGATGAGCTGGGTTTTCCTTATTGCAATTTTAAAAGGTGATTTATGGAGAGCAAGAAACATTGAAAATGTGAGTGGATGTGTGTGAGAAAACCAGTGGATTTGAGTGTCATATTCTGACCAGGACGTCTCTGTGTTTTCAGGTGTCCAGTGTGAGGTGCAGCTGTTGGAGTCTGGGGGAGGCTTGGTCCAGCCTGGAGGGTCTCTGAGACTCTCCTGTGTGGGATCTGGATTCACCTTCAGTGACTACTACATGAACTGGGTCCGCCAGGCTCCAGGAAAGGGGCTGGAGTGGGTTGGTGTCATTAGAAACAAAGCTAATAGTTACAGCACAACATACGCTGAATCGGTGAAAGGCAGATTCACCATCTCAAGAGAAGATTCCAAAAGCACTGTCTATCTGCAAATGGACAGCCTGAAGTCCGAGGACACAGCCGTGTATTACTGTGTGAGAGACACAGTGAGGGGAAGTCAGTCTGTGCCCAGACACAAACCTCCATGCAAGGGCACGCGGGACCACCAGGGGGCACGCAGGACACACTGAGCAAGCGCCAGCCCTGGAGCAGCTGCAGGTGGAGGTTAAGTGCTGGTTTATGTTTGTGTTCTTGGGCTTCCTCTTCATCAAACAGTTTCCCAGAAATCCCCTCTAGATTCATGATTTTGGGTTTACCACTGGCATTTCTGAATTAAAGCTCTCATTGTAGCAGGAGGACATATTCTCACATGCACACTAGTCAGTGTGTCTCTTATAAAATCAGAATGACTATGCTGTGCTCACCAGAATCAGAGTCCTGAGGAAGCTCAGAGGACCTTGTGAGTATTTATCAGACAAGCTCAAGGCAGAGCCCTCAGTGGGGTTTTCCTTTAATGATACTCTTTGAAACTCAGACTGGAAGCAAGAAGAGGCTGGACCAGGTTCAGAGACCAGTGACATCCAGTGGATTTTACATCTGACCACCCTCCTTTGCAGGTGCACATCAGACTCAGCACTGATCAGGCTTTCTTGTGATTTTAGAGCCTCTCCACTTATAAGACACAGGATTCTGCACTTAAAAATCTCTTTTCAGTCTCTATGGTAAAATCCACTGTTGGTCTGTGGAAGCTAACAGCGTTCTCCTCAGACAGAACTGAAGTCTCTGGGGAGAAAAAGATTGAGGTCTAAAAGAAGATGACAAAGGGTACAAAAGCAATTTCTGGTGATGGGTATGTACCTAATATTAATCTGGCCCCCACATCATGGGCAGGAGGGGGCAATCAGCTTTGTATCTCATGAATATTCAAAATAAATGAATAAATAAATAATATGAGATTGTTGGGTCTTCTTCATTGCCTGGTGACAGCTCCCCAAAGGGAGTGTCTCAGTTGTCAGACAGGGGTCTGTGGGGACAGCTGTGAGTGTACATGACTGAAAGAGACGGATTCTCTCTATTCCCAAGTGACTTTCTTCAGGTGCAGGTTCAGGAGTTGGGCTCAACAGTGGTGAAGCCCTTGGAGAGACTCTCCCTTACTTGTGCTATTGCTGGATTCTTTATCACAACCAGTGGTTTCTGCTTTGAATTGATCCTCTGAGCCCTTGGGTAGGAGCTGTAGTGGATGAGCTACATTTGTCCTTATGAGAAATGACACTGCAGCCTGTCCATCAAGAATTGGGTCTTCCTCCCCAGAGATGTGTCTAAAAACCAGTTCTTCCTGCAGTCAGCTCCATAATGGCCGAGGACATGGCTGTGTGGTGCCGTGCAAGAGAAGCAGAGGTAGTGTGAGTCCAGATACAAATCCCCCTGCAGGAGAACAGGGGACCTCCACGGAGCACTGCGGACACACCCAGCAGGTGGACCTCAGGGCAGCTGCAGTGGAAGGCATGGAGGGTTTTCCCTCAGAAGCTGTGGTTTCCCACCAGGACCTGCCTCCCAAAAGCCTCCCAACACAGTCAACCCAAGTAAATTTCCTGACTTTCCACATCACTTTTTTTCCCCTTTGGGATCCAGGACTTCCTGACTTTACCTGTCTGTCCCAGGACAAGATGTACAAGGAAATTTCTTAGTAAGGTCTTTGATTGTAATACAGGTGACAACATAGTGTCAGTTGTCAAGTTTATATACATTTAGTGCATTGATGATTCTCCTGTTGACCCTCAAATCTTCTCTCCGTTCTCAGATGGATCTCCTCCTACTCTCATTCCAGTGAGTCCTCCCCTATCTTGGTTCATCAATGCCTTTCCTTTTGATTGATCTGACTAAGGTTGTATATGCTGACATTGGGTGGGGTCAAGTATTTACAGAGCTATGTTTTCACAGGACATTTGGTGATGCCTGAAGACAACTCACTGTCACAATTGGGGTGGTGGGTGTCCCAGTGGTATCTATGGTATAAAGACCATTGACGATGCCAATCATCCTGCAATGCTCAGGACAGCACCCACTGCAAGAAATTATTTAGTCCCAAACACCAACAGGGCTGATGTTGAAGAACACTGATACAATGTCCTAAAACTGCTAAGTTGTTAGGATGTGAGGTCGCTGTGTCATGATTCCTAAGAAATCACAGACATGGAAACACATCATCTGTGTATTTATAGTTGATCCAGTGAAAAAATTCTTTTTTTTTTATAAGTACTCTTAAATTACAATCCTAATTGTCATCCCATGTGCCCACAATGTGAGGGACATAACCATTGCCAGAAATTAATTTTGAACCCCTTGTCCTCCACACACTGGTACCCCAATCACCCTACACGTCCACCTTTCCCAACCTCTCTTTTTGTAGCCCTAGGAATGTTCTCACCCTCTGTAAGACCAAGGCACTACCATGGTCTGTCTTTCCTTCCTTCCTTCCTCTCTTAGCTCACACATATGAGTGAGCACACGAGGTATTTATCCCTCGGTGCTTTGCTTATTTCACTAAACATAAGTTTCATCAGGTTCATTAATTTTCTTGAAAATGGGACTATTTCATTCTTTTTATGGCAGTGTAATATACCATGGCATATATATACTACTGTTTCCTTATCCAATCATCCATCGATAGACATGTAGGTGGGTTCCATGCCTTGGCTACTGTAAATAGAGCTGCAGTGACCCTGGGAGTGCAGGTAACCCCTAGATATGGTGATTTCCATTACTCTGGGCATATACCCAGATGGGGGATTGCTGGATCATATGGTAGTTTTATCTGTAGTTGTTTAAAAAACCTCTATATTATTTTCCACAGTGTTTGTACTAATTGACAGTCCCACCAACAGTGCAGCAGGGTTCCCTTCTGTCCCCATCCTCGCCAGCATTTGTTATTCACCATCCTTTTGATTATAGCCAGTCTAACTGGGGTGAGGTGGCATCTCAATGTAATTTTAATTTGCATTTCCCAGATGACTAGTGATGTTGAGCATCTTTTTATATATCTGCTGGCCATGTGCATGTCTTCCTTTGAAAACTCTCTATTCACTTCCCTTGCCCATTTTTACGTGGGTTATTTGCTTTTTTCTGTATAATTGCTTGAGTTCTATGTATATTCTGGATATTAATCCCTTGTTGGATGCATACTGAGCAAAAATTTTCTTTCAACTTGTAGGTTGCCTTTTCATGCTCTTGATTCTTTCCTTTGCTGTTCAGAAACTTTTTAGTTTCATATTGTCCCATTTGTTTATTTTTTTTCTTCTGCTGCTTGTGCTTTCAGGCTCACGTTCATAAAGCCTGTGTCTTGACCTAACAGCTGAAGTGTGTCACTTATATTTTCCCTTAGTAACTTTACAGTTTCAGGTCTTATGCTTAAGTCTTTAATCCATTTTTGAGTTGGTGTTAGTGTATGGTGAGAGATGCATATCTATATAACACATTTTTCTTATCCAGTTGTCTGTCAATGGACAATTAGGTTGGACACAGCTCTAAACTAAGGTAAATACAAATGCGATAAACATGGGAGTGCGGGTGTCCCTTTAACATGATTATTTCCATTCCTTTCATCACCTGCCCTACAGTGAAGTTGCTGGATTTCACTGTACATCTGTCTGTAGTTGCTTGAGGAATCTCCATAACATGTTCCATCGTGCTTGCATGTGGTATCAGTCTTCATCAAACTGTAAATGGTGTAATATTATGCTTAAGTATACTTCTTTAAAGAACGTTGTACCATTTGTTTTAGTCCTTTCAGTGATCCGTGTTTTTAATGCTTCAGTTATGCAGGATGAATAGTTCTAGAGATCTGCTGCACAACAAAGCACCTGTAGGTCACAATACTGTGCTATAGTATCCCACAGAGTATTTACTGCTCTGAAATCCTCTGTCAACCACAGACCTTTCCACTTTCTCCACAGTTTTGGAATTTTTAGATTATCATATAGTTGGAATCATGCAGTTTATAATCTTTCATACAAGCTTTTTTCACTTAGTAAAATGAATCTATGTTTCCCAATGTATTTTCATGGCTTAATAACTTAGTCCTTTTTAGTGCTGAATTATAGTACATTGTCTGAATGTACAACATTATATTTAATCATCCACCTACTGAGGGGTATCTTGGTTGCTTCCAAGTTTTAGCAACTTGGTAGCTTTATAAATAATACTGCTATAAACATGCATGTGCAGGGTTTTGTGTGGAAATAAGTTTTCAGGTTCTTTGGGAAAACAACAAGTTGTGTGATGACTGGATTATACCTAATAGTATGTTTAGATTTGTAGGAAACTGCCAAAGTACTGTATCATTTTTTATTCCCACCAACAATGAACAAGAGTTTTTGTTGGTCCTCAACCTCCCCAGAATTTGGCAATTTTAAGTGTTCTGACTTCTGGCCATTCTAGTTGGTGCATAATGGTATCAAATTATTGCTTTAATTTCCATTTTTCCAACTACGTATGGTGTGAAGCATTTTTAAAATCCCTATTTACCATCTGTCTATATTTATTGGTCTGGTACCTAGAAAGGCTTATGACACAATTTTTAATCAGATGCATTGGAACTTTTTAAAAATTTTTTTGAGTTTCTAAGTATTATTTTTATATTTTGGATAACAGCCAATCTTCATTTATGTTTTTTTCAATATTTTCTACCATTACAAAAATTTTAAAAATTGTTTTGACAGTAACTTTTGTGACAAGATGTTTTAAATTTAAATAAAAAATATCTTATTATTTATTTCTTATTGATGAACTGTGCCTTCGGTATTGTATCTAAAATGTCCTCAAACATAAGGTCATCTAGATTTTCTTCTGTGCTTCCTTTATATAGTTTTGTGGTTTTGAACTTTACATTTAGGGCTGAGAACCACTACGATTTTATTTTATGAAGTATGTAATCTCTGTGTCTACATGCATTATTATTAAAATTTGGAAATGGATGCCACCTTGTTTCAATACCAGTTGTTTAAAAAACAATATTCTCTCTATTGTATTTTTTTCTGGTCTTTTTTCAAAGATCAGTTGTGAATTTTTATGTGTGTTTATTTCTTGCTCTGTTTCCTCTTTATTTTTTATTTTATTTGTTTATTTATTTATTTATTTGTCCTTTTTTGAGACCAGCCGCACCGCGCTCAGCCAGTGAGCACTGTGAGCCCACCGGCCATCCCTATGTAGGATCCGAACCCACGTTCAGCGCCGCACTCTCCCGAGTGCGCCATGGGCTCGGCCCTCTGTATCCTCCTTAATGATCTATTTGTCTGTTCTGTCACTGATGCCACACTATCTTGATAACTGTTACTTCACAGAAGGTCTTAAAGTCAGACGATGTTGGTCCTCCAGCAATGTTCTTTGATGTTGTCCTGGCACGGCCAGGCTGTCAGTAAGAATCTGGCGTTCACATATTGGGCATGAGGGGTAACAATCAGCTCTCTATCTCATGAACATTCATAATCAATAAAAAATTGTTTTGGCTACTTTGTGTCTTTTATCTCACTGTATAGACTTTAGAATCCATTACTCAAGATCCATGAAGTTAGTTTCTGGGATTTTGACTGTGATTGGGTTCAACCTATAGATCAGATTGAAAAGAACTGACATTTGGGGAACATCGAGTCTTCCCATTCATGTCATGAAATATCTCCCCATTTAATTTATTCTTTCATCAGACATTGTTTTCATTTTTTTCTTTTTTGGCCGATCTTGTCTGTATTTACTCAGATTTATAACTAAATATTTTATTTTTGGCTGCTAATGTAAATAATATTATGCTTTTCATTTTAAATTCTCCTTATTTGTTTCAGTCATATAGAAAAATGATGACTCTTGCTAAGGATTTTAATGTGTTCCTTAAAAACTCACATATTGTATTTTAAAAACCACTAATGTGATGTTATTTGAAAATGGGGATTTGGGGAGATAATGCATTCTTTTATTAAATAAAAATTATTTTTATGGACTTTCCTTTCAAAAGTTAATTGAAAGCTTGAGAATGTAAAATTGCAATTATATAATGTAAATATACTTGTAATTTTGTGTGTGAGTGTGTGTGTGTGTACTGCCACCTGAAATACAACTAAAACGAGACATGTGTAAATCTAAAACAAAAACAAAGAAAACAAAGAAACAAAAATTGCAGGATACATATGTGTGTGAAAACTAGAAAAATGTTT